GTTGATAGCGCTGTACTGGTACAACAGACGATCTCATTTTCTTCTTATCGCTCCAGCCCTGTGCAGGCCTGCGGCGGTGATCACCTGACTCACGCCGAGACAGATTGAAACCAAGACAATAAAAAAGGAGAAATTTAGAGATAAAGGAAACCGTAAATTACCGGACCATGAGCCCGGAGCTGACAAAGCAAGCTGTTCCTTTGAAAACTCAACGTTATCCTTTATTGAAAGCTGCATTTCCAGAACATCTTACATGATGTTTTGTTACTTTAAGTGATATAATAAAACCTAAAGTCAGAAATGTGTGATCATTTTTGAGGAAATTTTACTTCCTACCCCTTGGTACAAATAGTTACTTCTTACAGCACACTTTGATTGGGCTTATTGGATTGTTAGCAGTGAGGTAGAGCAAGACTAGGAGAGAAATTAGACTGAATAAAGAAGATTTCCTGCACAAATGTTCAACTGCTGGTGTTTGATGATTTCATTGATGAATGCTGGTTAGTGTGAGGACAAGCGGTGGGGTACTCGGAAACAAGACCTTTTAGATGGAAGTGTTTCTTTTTTGTTGTTGTACCCCAAAAAAACACACAAATGTTTGGTCTACAAAATAGGCTTATAAAATATGTCAACTAAATACAACTCTACTTACAGTATCAGAGCCTTTGATAACTTTAAATGATCTGGCTCCCTGTATCAAATTATCCAGAGAAGTATAACAGAAATGCCTGTGTGATTTTAAAGTGTAAACATGTGCTCACTACATTTAAAAAATGTCATATTAAATGCTAAAAGATGAATGTTTAATAAATCAAGCTATGTGAAGGTGAAGCATTTGTGTCCCATGTGTGGCTGTAGCCAACAGTCCAGGCCACAGTTGTCCGACAAACACTTGCAAGATAGACAAAGGTCGTAATATATCATGGAAGATAAATATGAACATGGTTTGTATTTTAGATTTAATAACAGTGTTACAGATGAATCTTCAATTAGACTTGATGATCAATTCTTGTGTAATTGACAGATTCAATCATGATTACTCATCACAAGTATTATACACTTTAACTAAATGATCCTCCAGGAATCCAGATCTAGGCTGTACTTTATGAACGTGTATGTACTATCATCATTTCTAATTAGCATCGGATAAGTCTGGATCTGCCTCTCTTACTTGTATTGCAGTGTTTTGGCACAAAGGAAGAAAGGCAGGGGAATTAAAGTGATTTTACAACCCATGCTAACATACCTCCCACACTGCTGCCCCTTTTGAACTCATGAAGAATTACTTCCAAAAACTCACATTTAGAGAAAAATGAAGTCCGTCTTCCAACACTTTGACTTTAACCCCTTCAGTGCATTATTTTGAATACATTTCCCTAATAAGTGCTGGTAAATCTAAGTGTTCCTCTGTTTGGTTTCGCTTGTTCAGGACTGTGTCAAAACAAAATGTGCAAAAGAAAAATCCTCTAAATAGTCAATTTGCCCCCTTTCTGCAGTTAGAAACATCCAAACCCACAAAAATACACACAGCAAAGACTGTTTGCAATAAAGCATTTCCCCGACAGACTGTCCTAAAAATTACTCTGCGGCTGCGGGCACAATCCTGCCTCCAGTGAGACTCGTGCTGCAGTTAATGAAATGCGTTTGATAGATGCGATTCTAGGAAGCATCCTGGACCACAGAGCACATGTCTCGTGTTATGGATGGCAGAGACACAGGGAGAGGGAACAGTTTACACAAGTGGTCGTAGCTGCAGGCTGACAGAGGTCTGAACTCCAGGGAAGACAAGAGAAGTGACTGCGGCAGAATGATTTCAGCTGTGAGAGCCTTAGCAAATCCCATGGGTAGTCCACCCTGAACCCACACATCTAAGGCATGCCTTGTCAGGACTGCATCTTACTCTCAAGAAATTATGAGGAAAAAAAAAGCCTCTGAGAGAGCTTCTTCCCTACCATATGTTAAAATTTTAATGGAGTTACAAATGTTTCAGACTGAATTGGTCCTCCTCTGCTAGGTTCAATTTTGGGTCAAATGGTTACAGATTTGTAAAGTACAGAAAAGAAAAACTGGAAAGATATGTCCAGATATTTTGTCTAACATGGAAAATAATTATTACCCAGCTCCTGCAAAGAATTGTGGGTATACAAAATGTTATGTCCCTGACGACGGCCTGCATCTGTCTGAGCATGGTGGGACTTCACTTCAGTGAGCTGCAGTGGGACCAGAGACGATAAAAAGCTCAACCAAATGACTGTTTGGAGCTCTCCATACTGATGAACTTCACTAAAGGTCATATGCTCTGTCTCCCCCAAGGAACTGTAAAATCAAAATTCATATCAAATAGATGTTTCTCAAACGTGGTTTCAGTCATGTTAGGTAGTCCATATCATGCTGATTTATTTCCAAGTGATTTTAAGTTTTAAAGTTGAGTTTCAATTTGTTATTTGATTGTATTAAAAAGGAGTATACAGACATGACTGGCAGCTTTTATGACAAGTGCTCCTCCTTTTCTAATGAGTGGGACACGCTAATTATTTTCCATTTGCTGATATACAGAATGGTACATTGTTTGCTAGGAGACTTTTTACAGTAATTGTTTCGTCATAAAAAAAGACAAAGAGCCTGCACTGCTAGCACCTTTGTAAGGCTGCACTTACGCACAGTGTTTCTGACATCGGCATGCCAACATGGTCACTATGACAATGCTGACATGCAAATGTATGGCAGGTATATAATATTTACTATGATTAGCATCTTAATTTACCTTGTCAGCTTGTCTGATTAGTACAGAACAGAGAGTAATGCTTTGGCTGATATGAGGGTCATGTTCTTTGTTAAAAAAGAAAGAAAAAAAAAAGGTAAGCTAAGGTTGTTGCTAAATGAAATACAGCTGATTAACAAAAAAATGCATCCTGAATACAAACGCAATCATAGAAAATCCCAAATTTGAACAATTTGAGAGGTCAGTAAAGTCCCTGTTGAAACAGTGAATGTCTGTAATAAATATTTCAAAAGGTCTGTACATCCAATTATATAGTTGATCATTTTGTGGTGCCTATTTATGGTGTGCGAGTTATTATCAGGGTAACACTTTCCCCCTTGAGCACAATTGATTTGTGTTCTCCAAATGTTAAAGCAAGACATACAAAAGTTTTGAGACATTTCACATAAAATAAAAAGTTAACCATGGCGTGGAGGTTTAAGGGGAGCCAATAGATTTCCTCTACTGGGACCAATACTGTTTGCACAAAAAGTTTAATGTCAAGCAATAATATGCTGCAATATTTCAGTCAGGACCAATGTGGCTGATCAACAGACCGACAAGCTAAAGCCTGGAGCAACCCCGCTGGAACAGTAAAGATATACACATTTATACTGAAATTTGTGAATTAGTTTGGCAAACTACAGTTCAATTAATGAAATGTATAACCAGTTTTATGTTTTGAATTTGACGTAAATTGTATTTTTGAAATAACTTTTGAGGTTCAGAGAGTGTACAGAATTTTGAAACTATTTTTGCATTCATACGTCACTGAGGTACTTTCACTACAGCAACAAAAAGTGTGACCCACTTACCTGTTAAGTCCTTTTTGTCCCCGTTTTCCAAAAGCCTGCAGGCAGAGGAAGAAGAATGAGAGGCGATTAAATGAGGTGGGGGGGGAGGGGGAAAAGAGCGTCTCTGTATGGGAGGGGAAAAGAGAGATACAATACAAGTGGCTCTGGTGTGTTTTATATGACCTCCTATAAATCAAAATGTCCCTCACTTTGAGGACAGAATCTTTCCTTTGTCTTTCTATTTATATGCCTCATTTTCCCTTTAATGGTTTTCCAAATCCCCTTCATCCTGTGGCTGTAATACAGTCCACTGTGGGGTCATTGCCTGCCCACATAGCAGCACTGCGCTCCCTCTTGTTCACTGCAAACACTGTGATTCTGTCAAAAGACTCTAACATCCTGGTCGCCCGCACTCATTCACCTCACTTTTCAGCCCATTGTGATGTATCGATCCGGGATGGTGCCACTTATTTCCCTCTATTTTTTTTTTCTCCCGGCCCCTCTCTTGACCTAAATTCCCCCGTGTGTGCTCATTAATTAGCTGATGCAAGTCTGCATTCCCAAGAGAGGGGAAAAGCTCATTATAGGACACATCAATACAGTAGAATTAATCATGCTTTAGTATGTGTGATCCACTCTGTGTGTGTGTACAGGTAGTAAACAGGCCCACAGGTGTGTCAACTCTGCATTTATTATAATCTGTTTTCTTTAGCACCCTATAGGGACGGCCCAAAAGGATCCACCACTAAATCCGACGGGTCACAGGATCATTTTAAGGGAATAAGGAAGAAAATTCAGATTTTTTTAATCCTACATATTCTCAGCTGTCCAGTTCTAAAAAAAAAAAAAATCCTTCATTTACTTTTCAAGAATACTTCTTCATTGATTTATAATAGATTTATTGTCTTGATGATGCTTTATTTATTCATGAGTGTCCTCTCATTTGGAGCCACTTAAAGGCAGCAGCACTGAGCTGGAGCTGATTTGTTCTTCAGAGTAAGACTTACCTCTGAATTTGCAAGCTAAGAAGTGTGTCACTCCTCCTCAGGACTTTTATCAAATGGAGTACTCTCAGCAGAAATGATGCATTGATTAATCAATTACTTGATTAACCAAAAAAACCCTGCAGCACATTTGTCAAAAGATGAATTGTGCCGATCATTCATCAAGCAAACATTTTCTGCTTCCAGCTTTTTGAAAATGTATAAATCTGCTGTTTTGGATCAAAAAAGCAATTTCAAAATACCTTGGGCTCTTAGACCTTGTGTTTTTTTTGTTTTTTTTAACCATTCATTTCTTGACCAAACGATTCACAGAAAATATAATTAGCTCATTAATCAAAGATGAATATAATTGTTTGTTGCAACCCCTTAAATGGTTACGTTTTTTTTCTCCAGCTAATTAGAAAAAACAGATGGCCAATTAAAAATGAAAAACACCTCGAGTACAACAACAAAAAGTGGTTTATTAGTAAGGATTGATTACTTAAAACACATCATTATCAAATAACATAAATATATGAACAAGTAATAAACACCATACAGTACAGGCTTATAGGTAAACTTAATTCATAAATGTTTTTTGAATCATCAAAATGTACGTCAAAATCAGGGCACAAGTGGTTGTTGTTTTTTCCATCTCGTCATCTAAGGCTTGGTTACTTTAACTCTGGCACAGTTCCACACATTACATAAGCCCCTCATCCATTACAAAGTCCCATTTAATAAAGAGCTAAAACATTTCTTCTGCCAGACAACATCAATTCATTGTGCTCGCTTTCTGGAAACAACCCAAAAGAATCAAAAAAAGGAAAGAAAAATGAAATACAGTGCAAAAAGCATTACCTCATCGGTAAACGGCAAACTTTTTCTACTTCTGCCATCTCATACTCTGCATCCAGATTCTGTTTAACCGACACCATATGGGAACCCAATGGTTCCCTCCCACTGTCATATGTAAGGCTGCAGGCACTGTAGCACCAGTAGGAGCTAAGATCACAGCTCATACAGGGAGGCTTCACATGGTGCAAAATCAAAGTGGGAAGAGAACACAGTTATAAAAAAAAGTTACCGCTCACAACCTGACTTATAAATTGGTTCACAGATTTTAGCTCCTGCATGTATTATAACATTTGTGTCAGGCAGAAAGAAACACAAAACTGCAGCGCTGAGAGGCATTAAGCTATAATGAACTTTGTTGACTTGGTCGATACTTGTGGAAAATGTTAGTGATGCTACGTGTTCAGTAAATAAGCGCTGAAACAAAAAGCCAGTCAACGAAAAGCTAATTGATAATCAACTCATCTAGTTGTTTAAGGCACCAACCTGCAAAAATGAATTGAAGGTTAGCTTCTCGATTGTGAAGGTCTGTTGCTTTTTTCCTGGAATCACTTCACAGTAAACAAAAACTCTTTGGAGGTTTTCTTTTTTTTTTTTTTTACTGTGAAGTGATTCCAGGAAAAAGCAACAGTTCATCACATTAAGTAGACCAAGAGATTCAATTTGTTGATTAAAAATAACATTTACAATAATCACATTTTAAATCATGAGAACAACTGTGAGTTGTGCCTTTAGTTGACATATTTGAGAGATCATGTGAACTCTTGTCTTATACACAGGCATGTTAAAGGAGGCTTTAAGTTGATCTGGAGTGTAACGGTGCATTGTGTTGCTTATGTGGAATGATTGTCGAGCTGATTTGACTTTTTTTTCAAACTTTCTAGTGCTTAGGTGGTATAGATGAATTAGTTAAATAAAGGCCAGCATAACTTACTTCTTTAACAAATATATATGTATAAAGCAGATTCTTCTTCTGTTTCAAAAGTCAAAATTTGATCCAACTAAGGCGCTCAATCACATCTTAACTTGTCAGCCAAATAACTTGTTACAGCATGTTCCTGTGAAAACTGGCTCCTGTGCATGAACTGTACTGAGACAAGTAGAGCTTCAGAGTTCAGCAAACAGATCCTCACTGTCTGCTGCTCACTCCGAGTCTGACAGATTCAAGGCAGAAACAGATGGGGGGGGGGGGGGACCTGACTGGCCAGCTGAGAGGGAAGCCTGTGCTTTGAAGTGGATTGCCATCATTACTCCCCCTCTATGTCCCAGCATGGCACACTGGGTACAACAAAACGGAGCTGACAGCCACAGCCTCAAAGTGCTGCTTTTTTTTCACTCTCATAGTTTAAATGAGTTTGTTTGGAAAGCACGTATTGGTAGGAGTCTTTGTGAAGACAGTGTTTAAAACCTTTAAAAGTAGGCTCAGAGTTTTCCTTTTTCTATCAATCCTAACACAACTGTTTCAACTGAATATTTATTTGGAGATTTTTTTTACTTACCATAGGTAAACACTGTCCACTTAATAATGTACATGTTTACATTCTAATGCACTTGGGTACAAATGCTTTACCTTTAAGTCTGTTTATTATCACTCAGAGAGGTTATAGCTGAAAGTTATGTGTCAGCATTAAGGTCATAGTGAGTAAGTGGTTGTTGAGCGATGTCTCCAACTCTGCTACCCAACGTGTAAATGTAAAAAGTAAGACAAACACATCTCAAAATGGAGCGCAGTACAGTACTGCATTTCACTCTGACGTCAGTAATAATCATCTTATCTAATTTACATATTTCTCACCCTGCCTCTAAAAACATTTTGCTCTGTATACTGGCAAAGCTGTTCCATTGGACTAGAATGCACTCCACATCTGTGTCTGACAAAGTGAGAGTATTTGTCTTGCTTGCCTCTAGTGTTAATAAGACATGTGGATAGGGGTGGGTTTATTTGGCACAAATTCTCTGGATTAATGCAGCATCCCAAAAAAACAGAGCATTCTCAGACAAAAACTACTTTTTAAACGTTGAGCTTTGTCTCTCATGAAGAACGACAAAAAATAATCAGAGAAAATCTCAATAAACAGTCAGCACTGGATCTATTTTTTTTAACAGTGTTCTGGAGATTCTTCAGTGAAAGTTGTTCCCCTTTTAAAATACAGAGGGATTTGACCTTGACCTTTTGACCTTGAGTGTGGTAGATTCATCAGCCACATTTAAAAAGAAAACTGCAAACATATTTGTTTCTTTTTCTATCGCTCTAATTGTGATGGACGTTTGGCAGGAATCTGCGTGACTTGATGACTCGATAGATGTCAAGTGTGAAAAAACTCAACTCTAGAACTCTCTCAAATCTATTCCTACCACATAATTCACAAAGATTCATACATTGTTACCTTTACACATGGATTGAATATTTCATGGAAATAATATGTCCTCACCCCTTCTACCTTCTATCTGTCTTTGGACTGTTGTGATTTCTATAAAAGCTACATGAAGTGATTTTGGCTATCTCAATATGAGAAATGATTTCAGCTTCTGTTACATAATAGGAGTGCATAGGATTTACAGATGAATACATTTCATACCAGCTCCCTGTATGGAGTTTTTTTTAAAGACTGTTTGTTGTTACGTCACACACAGCTAACGAGTCCAGGTTACAGAGGGCAAAATGCTAATCTGTCGTGCTGACAGTGTCAGGGTCAGGGGACAGGTTTAGAGTCATGTGGGACGGACCGGAGGGTGAAATGTGAGACGGACAGGTTAAATAGAGACAACCTGTGTGAGCAGAGTTCATCCGGCCGCTCTTCACTTAGTGGACTGTCTGGAATGGACTTCCTGGTTTGACGGCATGTGAAGTGGACTGGCAGAGACGGTGGAAGACCGAGGGTGGCTGCTGTTGGGCGAGGCAATGCGGTGTGCATGTCTATCGTCCAGCTCTTCATCCTGAGAATCAGAAGCAAAGTAACGTGTCAGTGAAGACAGAGCACTTCATTTTATTTAGGTCTGAAGAAAAATAAAGAAATTCAAAATGAGTATTGAATAAAAATGGTGTCATTAATGTAAAACCTCCATCCTTTAACAATCTCAAACCCGATTGGAGCAGCTTGTATTCCTCTTCTGATCACTGAAGTAACAGGCTTTAAAGCATCCAGTTAAAAAAGGCTTTCCTCTAATCCTTTCTGTAATGGCCTGAGCTGGACACCACCAATCCATTCTAATTATCTCTTTACTCCACTCGGTGTCTGAAGAACTTGTAGCAGATGTGCTTTATCAGCTGATGGATTTAGTTGGAGAATCTTCTTTGAATAAACTCCAGTTTAAACAGACTAACACAGCTTTTGATGTTAATCAGACACACACTCTCTAAAGTTGTGTCACTCAACTTTGGTGCATATTTTCAGTCACTGTCTGCAAGGTTTGTTAGGTTGTTTTTTTTTTTTTTTTTTTTAAATCTCTGATATGGAAAACATTCTTAAAAACTTGACTTGATTTCTGACCTTGAAACATTGTCCAGCCTTAGCTCTTACAGCTTAAACATATAATTTAGTTTGATTAGATGGCCCCTGCATGTTCTTGTAATTTATTTGAGACTCTAATTTACGGTATTATTAGAAGTTCTAACACATTTATTGGCCTGATTCCAGGATGAACCCCTGATCTCTGGTTGAACAATAGCCAACCAGACACTTTTGACTTCCCACAAGTGATTTAAGTGCTGTACTTATCAGAGAGAACTCATCGTTTTTAACCATTATCACCAGTGTTTCGCACCGTGTCAGCGGTCTCCTCCCCTTCAGTGTGCTCTCCGTAGCATTGATTGTATACCTCCATGTCAGACAGAGCGCTCTCCAGTGCCTCCTCCTCATAGTCAGTGTGGTAGTCTGACTCTTCTGATGGAGGGGACGGGTGGAGGACAGGAAAGCAAAGAAGCACATTGTGGGTGAGCAAGTTGGAACATGTGGTGTGAGGTGATAAAAGAAAGTGGGTGTTCAGGTGAATGAGTCAGAGAAGCAAAAATGTGCAACATTGTGAGGAGTCAAACTGGGCAGTTTGATGAAAAGAGGTTATAAATAGAAAGAAGAGGAAGAATAAGAAGGCAGATAACTCTGAGAGACATCAGTGGTTGTTCGACACAGCTTCACTAAAAACGGTTTCTAAAGGGAATCATTTTCTATGAGAAGATTTTATCTTTTCATAAACCAAGTTTTCTACCAGTATGTTTACTTTTGATCAGCATCTTAGAAACTGTAAGATCCGAATACGATCTCTGGAATACGATTTCAGAAATCCATTTCTCCTCCGTGTTCAACAGATCCATGTGCTAATACAGAATGACGGGAAAATGAAAACAACTCCGAAACAAATAAGAGCGAACACTGGAAACACAAACATTGATTTAAAAAAGTAATAGCCTTGTCTGTTATCAGAGACACATGTGCACAAGTGTGAGTGTTGCTTTACCATCCACCACAGCGGGTTTTACAGGCTCTATGCGGGACACAATTTCTGCCAGGTCAGTAAAGGAAGCATTGGGACAAGTCACCACCTGAAACACACACACACACACACACACACACACACACACACACACACACACACACACACACACACACACACACACACACACACACACACACACACACACACACACACACACACACACACACACACACACACACACACACACACACACACACACACACACACACACACACACACACACACACACACACACACACACACACACACACACACACACACACACACAAAGAAATCACAGAAATAGAATCAGTCTTTACCCAGTCTGTTTCAATCTGTCGGTGTATGCTAACTAATGTATCGCACTTTAGCTACACCAGCTGCTTACTGTAAACACCTCGTCTGTCAGAAAGCTGTCATGTATTCCTGCCTTCATCATACGCTGGTGAAAACATAAAAAAATGCACGTCCTAATTTTTCATGCAGAGGGATAAAGAGACACAAAATCTGTTCACACAACATTTCCATAATGGCAGCTGTTTCCACACAATGTAAAACTGAACCGGAAACAGTAGAAAGGAACACTGGGAAATCTAAAATGTAAACTCTAATTCTTGCTTTTTTTCCACTCCTCCGTGATGGAACTAAAAAAAAATAATCTATGTCCTTTAACCATTCAAATTCCACACTTAGTTTTGAAATCTCTGTCACCAGTTTGGTCTTTTTCTTTGTTCTGCATTCTTTGTGGCACCACTGAGCACTCTACTGTATTTACTGTCACTGGAAGAGATTTGTTGTTTATCCTTAGAGTTGCCTCCTCCAGTGAAACCTGCTGACAGGTTAGTTACTGTGTGGGATAGTTACTGTTCTAAAAAAGAAAATTGGACATATTTATAGTTTCTTAGACAATGAGTGTAGCTCCATTGTTTTTTTGCGCTTCAGCATTGTTCATGTTAATTAGTGAGTTTGTTGCTCTGTACTGATCGTCACAACTTCTCTTTTGTATCAACTCGGTTCTTTCCCTTCATCCTGCTGATTCTCAGTTGGTGGTAAATATCTCATCTGTCTTAATCCTGTTCTCTCCTCCCTCTATCTGTCTATTCGTCTTTCTTTGACATTACTGTGGGGACAAATGTGCTATTTGATAAATAAGCTCCTCTGCACTTTAAGCACAGCCTGATAAATAGTTTTTATGATATTACTTTAACAGGAATGTAGCCCGAGGGCTTCCACGCGAGGCTGCTGGAGTCTAAATGTAGCTGACACATTTAATGGTGACATATTGTAGAAACAATAAGGATAGGAGAAAATGGAACCAATAAAATAAACACGTGTTCTATTAAAATGTGGATATTTTTGATACACTTCAAACAGTACATGGAGTACAAGATGAAAGATGACAGACCAGACTCAATGGAGTATTGGATTTACATTTGCTTACGTGTTGAAATGTGACAGGCTACTTACTTACTGTAACTCTTGATTAAAATAGTTCAGGACGACATAAATCGCCTGTTATTGCACAAATGTGTCAAAATGCAGAGCAGAGCCGTTACAGAGATCAGTTATATTGCAACGCTCCTACTCCTTCATGGTTCTGTATTCAATTCTCCTTGATTGATTTCTTATTATTTGTTATGAAGTGTTCCTATACATGTTCCCCTCCCTCCATCCTTACATTGTTCTTGCTTTGGGTGTTGTGGAACTCCTCCTGGTGTCTGTCTTTCAACATTTTCTCCACCACTCCACTGCGAATCCAGACGTCAAACACAGTCTTTCCATGCTGGTATCCCACCTCCTACGTTATCCAAACACAAACCATCTCGTTTGAATGTTATGCTCCATGTTATAGAAAACTGAGTCATTCAGAAGAACTTTAGAGGAAACTACAACCATGATGATAGGGTAAAAACATGTTTGAAAACTTACAGCAATCTCATCAAACTTGCCAAACTCCAGTGTCCTGTATCTGTCGATTGGAGGTCTGATGTATTCACAGTAGTCGCTGTTCTTCACAGACTCCAGCTGCCTCACACAGCACACGTAAGCCAGCCGAGTCTGAATCTCTGCCATGTTTAACACCTAAGACCACAAGTGCAATGAGAAATGAACAGAAGCATCACTAAAAAAAAAAAAAAAACTCCAAAAATATCCTCATTGTTATTCATAGGACATGTTTACTTTTACACATCCTCACACATCCACTGTTGTGTTTTTTTTGTTGCTTTTAATCAATCCATTACCTTGACTTTCTCAGCCAGGGGGTTGAGGCGTTTCCATAGCAGCCACCAGCCAGAGAGTGAGTCCCCATAATTAGTGAGGTTGGTTTCATCCCGGCTGCCCACGTCGATAGCTATCACCACTTTGGCCCCCATGGAGCGTGCTACATCAGCTGAGAAGAGAAGAGGCAGAAACAGGAAGAAAGGTGGGACAGGAGAGGAAGAGTTAAACTTTGTGAAATAATCCTACAGAAGTAAAGAAGTAAAGTCAAAGGCTGAGTTACCTGGCAGGTTGTTGATATAGCCTCCATCCATCAGCAGGTGTCCGTCTTTGGGGTCACAGAGAGGAGGCAGGTACCCAGAGAGAGACATGCTGGCTCGGACATAACGCCACAGGGAACCTCAAACAGCAAAAAGGCAATTCTTCAGTTTCATGCCATTTAAGCAACAAGTATTTTATTAAAGCAACCAACCTGAAATAACAGAATCAAAGCCATCAATAAATGTGATTCAAGGCTCAGTTTACCCCACATCATTTGTTTGTGTTTTATGGGGAAAATGTGTATGTTGTGGCTGTCAAACAGAAATGTAATTATCACAACAAAATAAATTTTAACAAAATTTGCATTTTATTTATATGTATGCAGTTTTGCCATTTAAATCTAAATGTCACATATTATGCAAAATGCCCCTTACCATGTTTTTGTAACATTATATTGTGTCCCTAGCCTGTCTACAAACCCCCCAATTATGAGAAAAGTCCATCCTCTCCGTGTTTTGCATGCTCCACTTTTCAGAAAATGTGTGCTCAAACAGGCCGTTTGGAGATTGTCATTTGTGACATCACAAAGGGAAATAACCCCTCCCCCAGGTTGGTGACAGCCCCACCGCTAGATGTTTGCTCTGCCCTGAGTCTGGCTTCTCACCATAAACAATCGTGCATGGTGCAAGAAAAGCCCAATCCACACACCCTTCTAGAGAGGGGCGTGGCCTAACAGAGCTCACTTTCATTCAAAGCTACGGACACAGCCTGTTCTGAGCAGGGCTGAAATAGAGGAGTTTATAGACATGATCAAATACAGGATCAGAGTGGATTTCTAACAAGAAACTTCAAAGACATGTTTTGAGGAGCTCTGAGATTTATTCAAACTTGTTGAAAAGGACAATAATATGTGATCTTTATATCACCATATAGACCCTTTTTCTCAGCATTTTTATCTTTATTTTTTATTTTATAACAGTGTGGTCATAAAATGTGCAGATACGGTATGTGCACTGTATGCACATATTTGATATACTTTCTTACACTGGATGCTCATTTGTATTAACTGATTATTATTTTGTTCTCTTTTCTCTCTTTACATTGTGTTATACTCGTTGTTATATACGTGCACATTTATTAGATATTTCTCATTTCCATTCATGTTTCCTACATTTCTTCAAGCTTATGTTCAGTATAATAGGAACTGCAACCCTGGAAAATTCACCTCTGGGATGAATAAAGTATTTCTGACTCTGACTGTACCTACCATCAGTGTGTACCCTCATGGCCGAGGCAGTGATGTCAGTTGTAATATTGAAATACGGGATCCAAAGGTCCTGCATACACAAAAAGGTTACATGGAAACAGATCAAAATAAAGCTCACATGGTCCTGCAGCATCAAAGGATATTTTTAAATGTTAACCTGCTGAAAATAGTGACTTTTCATGCTCTTTTCTTTAGTGCAGATGAAACCTCATCTCACTTACCTCAATCTGTTTGCTCTTGAAGACATTGCTGATGCTCGAGTTAAAGGAAGCTCCTGAAAACATGGAGGTGACCGGGTACGTCAAATCCAGAACCTTCTTGAACACCGATGTCATTTCCTGGAAGGGGAGCCAAAAGAAAAGAAAGGTTAAATGTTTCTTCACTTGACACCTCTGGATGATTTCTTTCCTCAAGAACAAATTAAACGTAATCCCTTGAAGTTGATTTGAGAGTTAAATTTCATCTAAAACTTCAGCTTGATTTGTATTTATATATGTGATGGTGCGGTACATGAAAGTCACTAGTTTCCTCTTCCCCCCGGTGTGTTCACAGACTTTTCTAAGTAATTTAATCATCTTAAATTTACTCCGCATGAAAAGCATCCATATTTAGACAGCTTCCCTGATTTGGTGAAGAACACATTTTTCATCACAACTGCTGTTATTTAATATATGTTCAATACGGATGAACAGCATCCCAGCCAGCTGCTTGTAAATAAAACTTTCAGAACTAAGGACAGAGCCAGAAAACGAGGGGCTGGATATACTGCAGGAAGGCAAATGGTAGCACATGTTCAGCCAGCTGATCTGGACAGCGAGCAGGTGTCTCAAATTAGCTGTCATGAATAGTCTCAGTATAAAGAAACACAAGGACGGATTCCATCTTAAAACTGAAATAAGTTCTGTTCATAGTGTTAATATGCAAACCATCTACGACTACATGCAATGCCATCCCATTACTTCAGATTATTATTTTCTTTTATTTTAAAGATTTTTTATGGGCATTTTCTGCCTTTTTTGGAGAGACAGGACAGTGGATAGAGTTGGAAATCAGGGAGGGAGAGAGAGTAGGGAATGACATGCGGGAAAGGAGCCACAGGTTGAATCCAACCTGGGCCGCTCGCTTCGAGGACTATAGCCTCCGTACATGGGGTGCGCGCACTAATCACTGCACCACCAGCGCCCCACTTCTGATGCTTAATAAGTACAGTGGGGTTAACTATATGAAAAGTAGAATCCAGAATAAAAAATTCTACATTCCTCACTTCATCAGAGTGAGCATGTGCTGTTGTACACAGCTTCTCTTTTATTCAACAGAATGATGTTTATCTGCTAAATTAACCTCCTCAAACAACAACGTGTGTTAAACAATTTCTACACTTAAATGCACCATTCAGGGAGGAAACACATTGGTAGGTCATCTCTCAAGGCTCTCTGGTCAGCAGATGTTACATAACATGCTGCCTTTGTTTGTTTGTTTGATCAAGGTCAAGATACATCAACTTTACACATGAATTTTATTCAACATGTACTGCCAAAAAATAAGTGAGGAGTTTTCCTCATATTGACCTTGTGATGCAGAATTGATCAGTTTTAAATCCATCCACAGAACTTTGATTGTCATCTCTCTTTCTACATGCGTTTCTTGCATGTCCCCTGTCTACATGAAAAACAATGCTCACAAATAAAACATCATTGACTCTTCCTGTCAAATTCAGATTTAGAACAACACTTGTGTTTCTTTGGCTCTCACCATTGCCCATTCTCTGGCTCTCATCCTCATTCGACTGTGGCTACGATCTTCTGCATAAAGGGCCCCCATCAGGGAACCGATTGAGACGCCACCAATGAGGTCCACTGGGATGCCGGCCTCGCACAAAGCTCGCAGTACCCCCACCTGGGAACAGCCCCTGGACAAGAGGGTGGAGAAATAAACAAGGATAGGACAGAGGAATATCAAACGTTAAAGCTATATTCGATTTTTTTTAAAGTTAATGTACTGGACTAAAGCATATTCTGATGTGAACTCTAAGTCTCAATGGAGGAGACGGCAGACAGTTACCTTGCCCCTCCCCCTCCCAGGATAAGAGCAATAACATTTCCTGTGAGGACTCGAGCCAGACGTGAGAAGTCTGAGTGTCGGTCTGCTGGCTTCTCGAACACACGCTGATATAACTCCAACTGAAAAACAGGAAAATGACTCTTAAACAAGGAACGAGGAGTTAGATGGCAAGATGACGAAGACCTGAGTAAAAGGGAAAAAAATCCTGATGAGTAAGAAAGATCTTTTTTTTTTTTTTTTTTAAAGAAAATCCAAACTTTTGGGAAAGTAACAGCCAGCAGAGGGAAAGGGAAACCGCTTTGATGTGCAGATGAGAAATAAGAGAGATAATAAAAAAACATTGACCATATTTTCCACTCTTACCAGTTTGGGCAGGCTCCTCTTGGAGAAGACCCTTCGGGGACACGAGAGGTGGAGGTGTCTAGAGATCCAGCTCCGCATGTTCAACCAGTCTACAGTTCCTTTGGGTGGGGGGCCGTCTTCTCTGTGCAACAGCACCAGCTGCTTCTGGGCCCGCACTGCACTTCCTTCTAACATACGCTCCAGCTAGAGGGGAGACATCAAGAGTAGATGTCTCAGAAAATGTTATACTCCTCACTTTCATCAGATAGGCACTGATGTAGTGCTTGTACAGAATTTTGAGTGATAGCTCAATACTGCAAACTTCAGGTTTACATGAGCACAGTAACTGAACCTGTGCAGGCTTGTGATTCCAATAATCTAAATATTGTTTTAGTGACAAATAAAGATTTGGATGAAGAGGGACAAATCATTTATCTTTGAGAATGGCAGAAAGTGAGATGAGCATTCCAGCTGAGGCAGTTTAACTATAGGACTCTCTTGAAAAGGAAGGTGGGGATTAGGAATGGGGGGTTAAATAGTCTGAGTGGAAGGTCAGATGCGCCACCCAGTCAAAAGGCCCCCTGCCTTTAGTGGTTTAGAGTGTGCACAAGGTGAGAGGCTTCATTTGTGTTTGCCCTGAAAGATAAAATCAACCCAGAGCTATGACTCATTCTGGGCCTGAGCAAATATTGATCCATTTCTCCCACCATCTCCTGTTAAACGGGGTTACATTCCTCACTTCTCTGGGCCCATTTTTCGATTTTGAAGGCAATTACCTTTCCTTCATCAGCTGGACGTGCACCTTTTTCCTCTTCCAGTCGACCTTTCTTTTCACAACATCTATTCACCCATTGCTTATGTCTCCCTTACGCCCAAGGTCCAAATACAAAATGTTGACTGGTAAGTAGGTTAAACCTCTTTGTATAACTGTGCTTTAACAGTACAATGATCAGCACTGACCTTTATATCAAATCAGTTCATATCAAGATCTTGGGTTATTAATAGAGAGAAGATTGAATAAGAGCTCAGTTAACAATAACTGGAGGGATAACTTCTTTGGAGAGAAAAAACAACAAAGGCTGATCAGATTCAATCTCCAAAGCATAATTTTAGAGTATTTTTGTCCTCCACTGTGAAACTATAGCACATCAATCAGTCAAAGTGCAGCTCCATGTGACAGATTCCTTCATTTCATAAACATGGACACTGTTAACTACATGAGGACGATGTTTGTTGGACTGACTCCATCTAAACTACAGTCTCAACAAACGCAACACTGAAACACATGCAACAAGTTATTCTGTTCACAATGGCTTTAATTAGAGTGAATATCTGTTTTGGTCACTAAAATTAAGTGATGTCACTTAGCCGACCCCCCTTCGATAAAATACCAACAGTAGAGAAATAGTGGGCTTACAGACGGGAAAAAACTGATTTATGTAAAAATCGAGATTCTTCTCTTCTAAGATTAAAAATCCATTCCTAACTTCCCAATTTTTTTGGGGGGGCTTATCAGTCACTCCCTCAGAATCATTTTGAATCGAAAATCGATTCTGAAATGAATCCTGATCCCAAGAATCGAAATCAAATCGTGAGACAACCAAAGATTCCTAGCACTAAGTGGGCTATTTAGCCATTCACTTTAACTATAGAAAGACACAATTAGGGATTAGCATACATAATGGGCAATTTAGCAGATACAGAACTGGACGTTGCCCTCAGGGGGAGAGACCCAAAAACCGAGCTATCTAAAAAAATAAATAAAAAAAACATTTGACATTTGACATTACATTTGCAAATTTGAAAGAAACATTGTCTGAATGAATGCTAATTTAGTTCAGTTAATGCTTGAATATGAACAGGCAAGAGTTTTGTAATGTGGCCATTTATACTTTTCAGGATATAGACAATATTCCAATGTTGACTTTCCAACTTGATGCCAGTACATTTTGCACACACAAAAAAATAAGTAAGTTATTTTAGTTGTTTTTAAAACATATATCAAATGAAGGCACAAAACATTGGCTGACCTTGCATCCCTAATGTGAGGTATGGCAGCTTTCTTTCATTTAAATCTGTTGTATTTTGTGTTGGACACAAACAAGCAATCTGTAGAAGTCACCTAGGACTTTATAAAATTCAAATATGCATCTTTCACTTTTTTCTTGAAAATACATATTATCAGTGAATCAAACTCCCCCAATCAAACAAAAACTGGATTGAGAAACCCTTGGCAATATTTGCTTTTGCGTCCTGTCTCTCAGTTCTCCACCACTTCCACCTTACCTCCCCAACAGCAGGGTCCTGCTCTCCGAGTCCCACAATGATGATGCAATCAGCCTGACGGATGCAGCGCTGTGTCCAAGGGGTCAGCGTGTAGTCAGTCTGGTAAAGAACAATGCGATGGATGTCTTCCTGTTGGCCCAGCCAGCTGGACAGACGGTACTCATGCACACTGAAGAGGAAAGGAGTCCATTAATGACAGGCTGCACTGCCTTGCTGGCAGCTCACAGTAGATCCAGTTTTTCTGCTGTGCCAAGACACTTGAACTGAATTTAATAAATGTTAGAGAAATTGGAAGCCCAAAGAAAAAATGAATAAAACCAAGAGGATGCTGAAGTGAATGTAAGTGCAACAAATTTATGATCTTTCAGTCTACAACTAAAACACACCTGTCTAGTGCTGCAGCTCCAAGCCGCTGTTTGATGACATCACTGGTCAGCAGAAGAGTGGGACCTGGTGGAGGAAGATCACACCAGTTAAAATCAATGGCCACATCCAAAGTCTCCCACCAAGCCATCACACTTGATCCCACCCCTTTTTGGGGGGAGGCTCTCTAAGTGGAGTGTTGTTTTATGCAGAACCAGACAGAATGACAATTTCCAGAATGTTTTGAAAACTGAGGCAGTGTAACATGAACCATATCTACCAGAGCAGAGAAATAAGCCGACCTCACTGAAAATAATCATGCTAACATCAGTTTAAATATGTTTGGGTTTATGTAGATGCAAAGGAATATGTAATTAGAGCAGCAGACACGCATGTGTGGAGAATCATTTTCTCCATGTCAATTTGTGTAAACTATGATTTATGGGTTACAGTACAGATATGTCCATATCCAAAAATGTGATTGTGTCTCAATTCCTACACAAAGATAACCTATCCCTTGTAGCTCTATGAGGGGCCATTACCTATGTCAGGACACTCTAAAACTAGGGGTAGAACCAAGGTTGTGAACTGGGATTGAGTGAATATATCTGGTTTGCCAATTACAGGAGGAAGACTCAGCACAGTACTTATCAAACAGGAATATGGTCCTTTGCTAGAGATCGTGAAACACACACTTTAATTCAATTTGATCTGTTTATTTTATCATACCTATTGCAATAAGAGCATGCTGCAGCTCCAGGGTGAAGGCAGTGAGAGGAACATCTTCTGATACAGGCAGGACTGCCACAGTGGAGAGGTTGGACGCTTGGTTTCCTGCATCCCACTTGCTGCCTGGGGTGTGGAGTGCCAAACTGCGAGCTAGGAAAATGCATAAATATTAATAAGGCTCTAACTTAACAGTAAATTGACTTTAATCAAACTAGTTGAATAACCCTAAGTAACCGTGGGAGATAGCGTATGCGTATATAGATGAAGATACCTGTAAGAGGACCGTTCACCTGCCGGAGGATCTTCTGTCCTAATAAGTGGATCAACCTGGTGACAACCTGACAAGCACAAACCACCAGGAGATTATTCAAAGGCTCAATGTAAGGGGCTAGATCATTTTTATAGATGACCTTTGGAAATCCCTTACACATATGCCCACTCTACAGAAAATGTATCATTAATTGAGAGAACCTGAGGGAATTTCCTCTTGATGGAGCTGAGTGCTCCCTCTGGTAACTTCGCCAGCTCGGAGTCTCGTACAGCATGCACTGTGGTGGCTCTGTTCTGATGGGTGAGGGCCTCCACCTGCAGGAAAACACAGGACACATGCTGAGTTTACTCTGCCAGAAAATACATTAACAGGTTTAATAACAAGAAACGAAGAAACCCCAATACTTCATTTTGCTTCAATATACAATTACTTTAAGGAATATGAGATACAGGTATGTCCATGATGGTTGAGCCTTGTATGTTTCCTTGTGAAGTTCTAATTAACTTGATGTAAAGAACCATAAACAATATCTCTCCATCTCGTGATTCAGAGTTGACGTCAACACGGCTGTGCTAAATTTGTCTCAGAAACTCAACAATTACAATCTTATTCCCTCCATGACAGAAGCTGCAACCACCGCTTCCCTCCTGCAGGTTACAGTAACCATAGCATCCATCAACCCAGGTATTATTAGAAGCATCTCAGCAGAGATGAGCAGCACCAGCCAATGGGAAAGTGGTTGAAGTATGACAAAGTGACTAGGCTATATGTATTTTATTAAATTAAAAAATGACAAATAGTGCTGGCACCATTTTCTGTTTCATTTACACTTAAAGCAGACAACTCTGAAAAATGTATGTAAACACGTTTTGTATTCTTGGTAAGTGTAATCTGAATATTTAAAAAGGTAGAAAAAAATAAATAAATAAATAAATATATATATATATATATATATATCTTCCTCCTCAGACAAAACAAAAAAAGAGAAACAATTGGAACATGTTCATCCACCCTTTATTTGGCTGACTGAACAGTAAAGCTGATGCAAACTTAAGCCTATGTCTTAGACTTTAAAAAACATGGACTTAGTATCAGTGACATCAACCACTCGGTTTCTAAAGCAAAGTTTTGAAGCCTAACAATGACAATCGCCATATCGAGGCTGTATCAAACTCATCTTAGGTCAATCTAGAAACAGGCAAAGAGGTGGATCTGAGGCGGGCCTTTTGTCTCCAGGAAAATAGCCACAATGCTTTAAAGTCAGATGAGGCGCACCCAACTGTGCATAACTCTTAGCCTTGATATAATGAAAATGCCCAGTACAGTGTAAACCAATAAACACACAAGCTAAATCTCTGTTGTGTTGGACTAGGCTGTACCCATGTTTATTTCTGCTTAACATGGCTGTAGATGTGACTTCTGGGGCTTTTGGAGTCAGCCTCAAGTGGTCTCTGGAGGATCTGCGGCATTTTACTCCTCAGCATTTTTCAACACCAGAGGATGCGGCTTGGCCTTAATTTAAAAAACAGTTTGTCTATTTTTCCATGATTTCATTTTATACAAATGATTAAAAACAATATTCAAACTACAAGGTTTAATTCAGAGGTTTAATTGTCTGAGGGCAAGCTTGTTTTTCCCCCCTATTAAGATACGAATACAGTCAACTAATAAGTCTAAATAAATAACTCAAGATTAAGTGTTATCTTGTTAATCTAAAAATAAAATTGCTTGAAGCGAGTGTTGAGTTACCCCATTAAATATTCATAAGATGTAATTGGTTGACTTATTATTTACTGGCAGTGATATTAGCCTCACGGTCATGCATTGGAGGAGCATCCTGGCAGTATCTGTTTTCTTAACTCTTACTGACAGTGAAGAGTCTATGAATGTTATGATGAACTGCTGTGAACGAAACAAACTATTTTCCTCAAACATAGTTAATATGAAAGTTTGACTCAGAATGACTTATTCTGATATGCAGTCATTAACATTTATGAGGATACTAGAAGTGAAAGAAAATCTTAGCATGGTGCACACATCGTAGATATTCATAGTTTTTCGCCTACCATCTACCATCTGTCGTCCCTCTCACCATTTCGGCCCTTACCACTCCAATCAGGTCCCCACGTCCGTACTCTCCTATCAGCTCCTTCTTTCCGTCCTCCTTCAGGATGACAGAGCGCAGTCGGCCACTCAGCACTATAAAAGTACTGTCTGATTTCTCTTCTTGCCTGGAAGTCAAACAGAAAAACTTAAATTCACTGCAAATAAGTAAACAAGATGGTGATCCGAGGAACATGAGTTTAGCCATTTCAGAGGACGAGGATGTTTTTTTTTTAACACATAAAAGGTTAAGAGAAGTATACCTGTACACTGCTCTACCGGCTTCCACAGCCATCCAGTCAAGAGCGAAGTCTATCTGTCTGACAAAAGATGACATCCTCCTCACCACAGTATGAGCCACATTCAGCACAACCTTTGGCTCCACTCGCATTATCCTGAGGAGACCAAAATCATTAAAAAAGGAAGGTAAAAGTTTGTTTGAACAAATTTGAAATACAGGGAGGTTTAACCAATTCAAAGCCATGAAATGTGCTTGTATGCATGTTTTCTTGGAATTTGAATTATCATACCTTACTCTTAATTATAATACAACAGTAATGTGTAACTATGCTGGAGGTAAAAACATTATTAACAGTTCAGAGGAACTAGAAGCTACAAGTAAATTCTAGCTCCTGTATCTACCACACACAGTTTTGCTCACTGTGAGGCAGCAAAGAAGACGGCATATCTTGGGTACAATTTTCCCAATGTTTGGTTGTATAGTGATGTGTTCATGTGACTGACTCATAGAAGTGGGTCTTGGAAATGGAGAGGAAGCTGCAGTCTCGCTGGGCTCGAACAGTGAATATGAGCGGCTCTCCGGTCAGGACAGCGAGCTGACCGACAAGCTCTCCTGGGTGTGTCACGAACAGACGTGTCTCTTCTTCACGGTCGATCATCCGCTGGTAAACATGGAGGAGGCCAGAAATGACAAACTGGATGCTCACCTCCTAAAAAAAAAAAAAACCAGAGTGAAGAGAACACATTTCTCAGTAAGGTGAATGGCAACATATAGTAGAGATTTGCAAATAGGACATATAGATCTGCTGTTTGATCCAAACCATTTTTAACCAATTATCACAAAAGTTCATTGTGTTATTATAAACAACATAGCCAAAGTGTTTGCACTACAATGAAATCTTTTTTTCAGAAACACTGCTTTCATATTCAATATTTCACTAGCTAATTAGATTGAATAATATTTCTAATATTGTATTAAAAACAAACAACTGTGAACAAGGCCTTGATATTGATAGAGAATTGTAGTGCAGTAAAATGATATGGAGATGGAGATATAGTTTAAAAAGGGTTTGGAGATTTCACAAAGTTTGACATTGTGAGTGGTAAAAAAAAAGCATGTGCAGTTTGACCAAACAAAGTGCCTTGAGCTTAAAAGGGATTAAATTGTATTTGCTGTATTTGTGTGTTTCAGTTTACTTCAGTTGAGGCTTTTGTGATGAATGTGATTGGCTGAGGGTCACTGTGATCAAAGTAGTGTTTTCAACTAATTGTTGCTGTTAGATGAAACACAGATAGCTGAACAGAGAAGGTGGAGGTTCGGGGCTGCACTCATACACAACTAGTTTTGACGGACTATATTTTGAATTATGAGCTGAAAAGAATGCAATCAAAGTGTTCTCACTGATGAAGGACACCAAAGAGAAAGCTCAACATATAAAGATGAAACGCACTTCCAGTGAACCATGCGGTGCCTCTGTACCCAGCATGTAAGCTGTCAGTCTTACCTGGTCTCCTTGACGAGCCACCACAGAACCAGCTTTGACTTGATGGAGAGTCACTCTGCCCTCAAGTAGACCGGGGTCCTACAGAAAAAGAAAAGATAAATATTGACAACATATGCTTATTCATATCAATGAATATATATCAATATTCTAATGTATCCTACCTGTTATAAAAGAAAAAACAATTATCAACATTTTCCCAGAAAACATGTTCTATAAAAAACAAGTATATGATTATTTTTTGGTTTCAGCCTCTCACCTGCAGCTGGATGATTCCCAGCAGGTCCTTCTTGGCGGCCTGGAAGATTGTGCTGCTCTTACTGAGGTGGATGGCATCAGAGTGCCCCCCACTGTCTGTGTAGTGAAACACTTCAGACGGCGTGTGCTGCATTGTCACACTCTTCTTCAGACTCGACTGCAAAGGCAGACATCAGAGAGGGACAAGTGAGGAAGACAAGACAAGCAGAAGCCCTAGCTGCAATGCATGCTGGTATACTGTGTTCTACACAGACAACTCAATGGAAAAAACGGGGGACAAGGCCGGGAGTTCTTACTTTGGGAGTTATGACAGGACTGGGTGGAGTCTCTTCTATCGTGACTCGAGCTCGCTCACACGCCATGTTCAGGTCATTACCTGCAAATCAGGACAAGGGGGGAGGAAAATGAGTTTTGGTAAGTCTATATGGATGTCTGCGTCCTTGCTCTGGATCAGTAACTGTGATAAGTCTTTGCAGGAAATTAATACAGAAAAATGCCATTTTGGAGATAATTTAGGTTCCAAGCAGTGACCCACCTGCGCAGTCGGTGAGCATCGATGTGGATCGCAGCTTCCTGTGGCTGTTTGAAGGGCTGTCCTTTCCACCATCTGTTTATTGCAATGTGATGTGTCAGCATTGGATCACTCTCAAAACAACATGATGAAACATTATGTGTGTAGTGTATGTTTGGAGTAAGGGTTGTGTGTGCGTGTGTGTGCGTGTGTGTGCGTGTGTGTGCGTGTGTGTGCGTGTGTGTGCGTGCGTGTGTGTGACCTGTCTCTGTGGGGCTCTCTGTGGTTCCAGCAGGTAACTCATCCTGAAAGTGCAAACGACGGGGGGTCTTCCCAGAATTTGCCTCTGCTACCATGCTGTTTACGTTGGACAAGGGCACCGCCTGACTCTCCTGTCAATCAGGCAATAAAAACAAATCAGTCAACAATGTACTTTTTTTTAAGTCAATCGGGACTCAAACCAAATCTAAAGTAACACTTTTTAGTCACTATAGATTTGAAGCATAGGAAAATTAAGACGTTAAGGACCTCATTGGATTGTGGGCTAGAAACATGTTAAGTGTCCAGTGTCAGTCGGGAAAAATACTGACTGTGTAAAGATTGAATTTTTGTAAGACTATTTAGTAGTCACATTCTTATTGACATTATATCAATATTTATTTTCCCATTTATTAGAATCAGTTTGACTAAATAATCTGTAAGCTAATTTCTAAATCCTTCAACAATTGGCCAAGTGAACGTCTTTCCACATATTCCCTCTACAAACGGCTAATTTATAGGGAGTATTTTTGTCATCATTAAGTCATATGCTGACCAGGGCTAAAGTCAACTGCCCCTCTTTAATGAGTGGAAGGGTTGTGATTATTTTTGTTCATTTTCAACGAGAGTTCTGAAGAACGGAGTCATGATACTGTGTTTAATGTTGCGTGAAATTAGCTTGCATGTGTGTGACCTTGTGTACGTGTCCTTCTGATGGTTGTTTATGTACAAATTCATAACCAAGCTCTCTGCATGACTGTGTGTATGTACGCACAATAATGTGTGAGCACTAATTAATTTCCCTCCTACCGGATTGAAGAGTTCAGTTGTGAGGCCCAGATAGTTATGTAACGCTAACAAGGTGACTCTTTGGAGGCGCACCATGATTATCTGCAACACACACACAAAATCAAACAGTGAGCGAAACAGAGCAGAACATATTCGACAGCAGATGTAGTTACGCCCAAATTAGATAGAAATTAATATGTTTCAAAAATGATAACGATGCATTACAGCAAACAAACAAACACATCATAGTGCACATTTATTGATAGACAATCTGTTACCTGAATGACGCGAACAAGGGTTTCTGGGTATTTCTTAAACACGGACTCAAAGGCTGATGCAGGTAAACGTAAGATGGTGGAGCGAGTTGCAGCCCGTGCAGAGACGGTCTTGTATGGAGCTGGATAACCCTGACAGAGGAAAAACAGTTATAAAAGAGATATTAAGCAAAGACAGACAGGACAGTCACTTAAACCACATAATCATCTAAGACTCAGCCACCCACGTGTCTACTGAGTAAGTAATTTGCAAATAGAAAATTATTTATATTAAGGTGTAGTTTTTAAGTTGTTAACTGTACACCTCAGCCAAGGCAAGGCACGTTTATTTATACAGCACATTTCAGCAAGAAGGCAATTCAAAGTGCTTCACACAAGACATCAGAAGCATCAAGACAAAAGGAGAAACATTAGAATAGAAAATGTAAAAATCACTAAAAAAACTAAAAGTATTAACAATCACAGAGAAGATTAACCCTGAAAATATGTTTAAATAAATAGATAACATAGGAGAATGCCTATAATAATTCATTTAAATTGAATTTTTTGAAATAAAATAAGAAAAAAAAAGTTAAGCAGTTAAAACAGAAGCTCAAATATTGAAGGCTACCTACAGAGATATCTTCTGCTCCCTTTCCATATTTCCCTAACATTTTTGTAATTTAATTTTTTGTACCATATATTGTAAAAACATATACTTAGTATGATGCAACCTTAAAACGTTTGTTTTCAGAGCTTGATTTTCTTCATTTCTCTGAAAACATTTTTTTGTTGAGTTCAATTTATTTCAGACAAAACATTTACAAAACAAGTGTCTGAAAAATAACCATTCCATTTTTTCTCATTTTTGAATGCCAATTCTAGATGTAGAAAATCAAACACTTATTTCCGTCCATCACAGGACCTCTGAAAAATTCGGCTCCAATATCAAAAAAAAGTGTTCCTCTGAATTGATGAACAAAACAGCATGCAGCTGGACAAATCATCCAAATGAATTGGTACACAGGAATATCAGGATAATGGACAAATAAATTGAGCTGAATAGAAAGTACAAAAAGGTTGGCTTCTAATTAAGGGAAGTGCAACTTGAAATGTGAACAACTGAGAGGAGAGTGCACTGGGAAAGAAACAAATCAGAAGTCAAAGGACGGAAGCAGAGAAGTAAATCTGACGTGCAGATGGAGGAAATAAGGAGCTCACAGTGATGATGTCCAGAATACTGAGCAGGCTGTGCACACTGTCCCCTGGGTGCACATCCTTTACAATTGGTTCTGTACCATCCTAGAAAAAAAAACAGAAAACCTCAAATTACAACATCCAAAATTTGGTTTGAAGACAAGGATTTTGCACCTTTAAAACATGTCCTTGTGGACTACATGCTACAGCCACAGGTAAAGTACATATTGACAAAAGCCAGCAACAGGAAAACACAAACAAATGTGGACAGAACAGCCATCTTTTATTCTTCTATATACAGTACTGTGGTGTATTATTACTTCTTCTGTTTGTATTTGTTCATGTGTTATGCACATAAAAGGTTGAGGCAGAATACTGAAGGACTCGTAACATAGAGTAAAGTAAACCTTTTCTCCTGATGCTCTTGATTTAAGATGTTTGACTTGGGTTACCAGTGAGAGGCATCATGCTAATGACTTGTCCTGTTCTGTAATCATGTATTGAAAATAAACTCTAAGACCATATATTTCTGTGATGTGTTATCCACATACGTTCTCCTGGATGCAGAGTTCTAGCCTTCCATCCTGGACTACATAGATGCTATCATCATCGTCTCCTGGTCTGAAAAGACCTTCACCCTCCTGCAGCTCGATAAACACCATGTGTCGACAAAGCTCGAGGAAGAGGGGCTTCTCAAAATGACCCAAGACCCTACGACAAGATGCACACATTTTAAAAAAACAAACTCTTAAAAGAAACAATTGTTAAAAGATGTTAAATCCATACAAGAAGTGGTATATTTGTCTACCTAACATTCTTCAGCATGTAGAGGACCTCAGATGGCAGGTTTGAACTCTGCACGTCAAACTCTGTTAGGTCGGCCTCCAGCAGAGAGGGAGGGGGTTCCTTTGGCTGCAGTGTGGGAGGATCTTTACGGATCCTCAGAATTCTTTTGGAAATTATAAAAAAAAACAAAAAAAAAACATTGAAAAAAACATCCTTGATTCAATCTACATTAAAAGGACCAAGCTTATCAGATGTGTTGTTTCCACTTGTATATAAAGAATAAAAAAAGTTTTCATGAAGCATACTTGCGAGCTATGCTTAGAACTTTGGTTCTTTTGCGAATGCGCTGCGGTTGCTTTGATACTGAGGGTGAGGAGGGAGGAGGAATGGAGGAGAGTGTCTGGACCTTAAAAAAAAAGAAATGCATTCAAGATTTTAATTTGACTATACATATTTGTGAATGAGGGCTTGTCAGAAGTGAAAACAAAAGAAACCTTTCGCATTATCTTCCTTCCATAGAAGAGCACTTTATCTCGTTTTCTGAAGCGATACTGCGGAACGCCAGGCTGTTGTTCTCCTTGTAAGAAAATACAAAACAAACGCATACAAGAAAATTTAGGACCACTTTCCAACAAAAAGTAAATATAGGCTTTGCTGAAGAGTCTAGTATTGTAGACCAAAACACGTCTGACATGTAGTATAGCACCAGAACAAGTATGAAGCTTTAAGAGATTGGATGACTCACGAGCAAGCTTAAACCTCCGGTAAAGGAAGAGAACCACGATCCCAATGAGTGAGACCGCAACTGCCGCTCCAATGAGAGCACCTGTGAGCTAGAAGACAGACAAAGATCATTGCCACATTTTGGTCACATGAGAAGACATACAGTGTAGTTGGCCACAACATAGAGCAACTAAGCTGCTCTTTTAGTGACTTAATCCTTCAAAATCCAAAGCTGTGTTCCAGTTAATTACCACATAGTGATTCTGAGTAGGCTTTGAGTATTAAGTGTGTTTACACTATAGAACCCAAAGTAACAGAGTACCTACGACAACAAGCTACCACTTAGTTCAGATTTTTCCAACAATGGAAGGCGCAAATCGAATAGAAGAGAAGCCGACTGTTGGTTTTATTTATTTATTGTTATTTTGAACAAAAGAGCATAGTATTGTGTTTTGATGAATTACGACTATCATACAAACTGCATGTAAATAAGATTTCTTATGGCCTTAAGACATGGGCCAAGATGCACATGTGGGACACGTGTTCATACAGGCATGTTTGACAAATCAGGGAAAAATACAGTGTAAAGTATTATAATCAAAGTATAAAAAACACAAAGATTTGAGTCTTTAACTTCTTTTAGTTTGACAGAGCTGTATGAACCATCATCTACGTAATTCAGTTCTCCTCTAATCTGAATCACATAAATCAGGAGTAAATAAGACAATACTTGGGATTATTCATTTGGGTGGAAACCAGCCAAACGGCAGCAAGAAAGTAACCCAAATTATCAAAACACTCCAAACAATTTAAACCATCCCCTTATAACAACAAAGTAGATTTTAAACCCCTCAGTCTCGCAGCAGCAAATTCATGTCTGTGATCTCGTTGCTTATAGAAAGCATAGGCCGGAACTCAGTAGTATTTTCATACCATTGTGGTCTGCATCCTCTCCTCAACAAACTTTTGCAACCGCATGGTGAATTCACTTTTGCTGTATTGGTTCAGCACCTAAAAATATAACATAGGTTAACACAGTTCCATTAATACAAGTGACAGTACGAAGTGGTGGAAAGGCTATTTTGATCCTTGTTAATCGACTTATTTTTGTTTGTACTAGTAAATGTTCATGTGCTTGTGAGCTAAAAGTAACTGGTGACTAGAATAGAATAGATGTTTATTGTCATTTGCACAGGTACAGGACAGTACAGGTACACTGGAATTCTTGTGCGTTTCTCCCTGAGTCAGCTTCTACAAAAAAAAAAGTTAAAATTATATATAAAATAGACTAGCATTGTAAGAAAAAAAGAAAGAGTACAAAAAAAGTAAAAATAAGTTGTATTAACAGCTAAGTAAATTAAAATAAACTGTACAGAAGTTATACACTGTATAATAGAAAGAAAAAAAAATAACAATGGGAACACTGTACAATGAAATGAAAATATAAATATGTTTTCTTGTTGCACACATATTTTTCTAAAGGACTAAAACTGTCCTATCAATGTAGTGCAGTAAAATGTACATGTCTGATCTTGACTTGTAGTGACAGACAGGAACAGTAAGTATAACACTTAAATCATTGAACTGCCAATTAAAGTCTCACTATTCACATTAATGCGTCACTCATGTTGTGTCACTACTTCGACAGGAGAACTTGGTCTCACTAACTTACACTTGGCCATTTGCACAAAGCTCCATCGTCTTCTTCTTCTTCGTGGCCATCCATCCTGCAAAAGAAGAGTCAGAAGGCCTCCCTGATGTTTGGTAACAGAGGCGGTGATGGTTAAAGTGAAGTATTTATGGGTTTTTTGGGGGAAAAAAGAAGGAAAACTACGAAAAGAGGAACATAGATTAGATTCGTCAGCATCTTCTGACACTAATCTTCAGACTTCCTGTCTCCGTATACGTTAGTAAAGAAGAAGCTACTTTATGAGCCTGTTTCAAAGTTATTTACTGATGTTTATTTCAAGCGGATGACTTAATTGTGTGAACTGAAGCTGTTAGCTTGACGTTAGCTAAAACAACATTGGCTAGCAGCTGGCTAACCACGGCTACACGTCTTGCCAGTGATAATATATAACAGAAGTCATTTTCAAAACATTGCATTGTGAATTAATTGCGGTACGAGTAAACTAGGCTTACTTTTCGAGGACTTCTGATGCGCGCCACTTCAAGAAAGTAACATTCCCCAACAGACGATGGAGTAAAGTTAGCTGGTAGCTATCAAAGTTTTCTGTGTGCTGTCACTTGCTTAGACCCGCCCATTTTTCAGTGTCAACCAATAGGGGTTTTGATGACTGCTGTTGCCTTGGTACCGTTCAGAGCCCTTGTCCAATCAGGACCGGGGACATGCACATACCCAGTCTTCCTGTTTACAACGTCGAATAAAGGCATCTCGTAACAAAGGTGTCATGAATCTTTGTGTCCCCGTACTACATGACACAGAAATGTAACAGGAGCTTTTAATATTGGTTGGAGAATGACAAAACACAAGTTTTAAGGTGCATGTACTCTTTTTGAGTATTTAATGTATCTGAACTCTACATTTCAGAGGCAAATATTGAATTTTCCGCTCCACTACAGTTATCTGAAAGTTTGAGCCAGTCACTTTTAAGATTAAGATTTTAAAGCCAAAAGTAATCTTCACTTTGATTAGTTGACAAGAGATTATTTTTTGTTTTTTTTTACTATAATGTTCTATTGATGTGTATTATCACCCTGTTGATATAATAATATCATAAATAGAGTACTATATATATATATATATAAGTATATATAATAAGAGTCTCAGATAGTCAAAGGTCTTATAAAGTAGCCTACATTCCACAGAGCATTAAAAAACAATGAGTCCACTTCTTCTGTCTTCTGTTATGGTAAAAAAAAAGAAAAAAAAATCACCAACAATAAAATCAAATAATAAATATGGATAACCACCTTTGAACGGTATTAATTTAATGGCTTAGAAGTAAATACAACAAATTTCCAAAGCCCATACTGCTAATTGATATAAGTTGTTCCTGTTATTTACACTGCATTGTCTTAACTTTCATCTTTCACATCATTGCAACACAATTCACACATTTCTTTACTTTATTTATAATGGCCTTTAAAGTTGAAAATATCAACATATTTTTCATCTTCTTCCCCCTGTACTTATTTTGTGAAATTAAAAGGTATTTCAAAGTTGAAAGTTTGTCCTCATGTTTTGTCCAGTAATTTGATAAACACACATGATAACATTTGTTTTAAAGTTGCATTTGCTTTTATTTTAAAGGTTAAAGTAATACATACAAAACAACAACATTATTAAAAGGCTTACACACAATACATGCATGATTGATAAGACATAACATAAATATTATCTTGGATTTACAGTGCTTTCTTTTTCTTACAGGGTTTTATAAGAAATCCAAATCATAATGACCAGAGCATACAAGACAGTATTTACAGTGTATACAAATACATTTATCCAAGCAACTTTTCAAGCAGCACTTGGCAAACACTAAAACCCAATTCATGTAAATAGTACATTTTGCAGAAAGCTAATTAATAGATCTATTGTTGCAGACGTGTTTTTTTTTCAGGACTGACCTTTCCAATACTAATAAAACATAAATCATGTTCAGTTGTTTAGGCATCTTGTCACCTGTCCACACATTTCTGACTTGATTTTTCTTTGTTCTCACATATGCTGCTGCATCATCTCTACCTCTCTAGCGCTGTTTATTCAGGTACACTGCCACAGAGTGGTACGCCTTAATGATCTCTTTGTCTGGTGGGCAGGTGTAACGGAACTCATCTTGTTTGTAGGCGTTTTCCAGGTAACGTGTGAGACCTTTCAGCTCTGTTGGGATGTCAAAGTTACGGTAGTGCTTACACACAACCTGAAAGTAGAGGGTTATCAATTAGGCTCAATTAAAAAAACATATTTTGTATATATTGAGTACAGTGCTGATCTCTGCTCACCTTGACAATGTTGAGTTTGGGCAGCAGGTTGCAGTCTGCCAAGGTGAGGGAGTCACCGTCCAAGAATCGGCGTGAGGACATAGTAGCATTCGGGTTGTTGTCCAGCTCATGAGGGAGAGGCGACTCCAGGTGAAGGTTCAGCTTTACAAGAGTGGAAAGAAATTTCTTCTCCAGCACTAAAAGACAAATAGATGTGACTAGCTGTATTATATGCTTTTATTTCCAGGTATAAATCGTTGTAAAGTCATTTTTTAAATATCCAGTTGGCGTCTTACTATCATTTAAAGCAGGATTGGGATTCTTTATGTATGCGGAGAATTTTCTAAAGATGTCCTCTCCTGCCCCGGTGGACTCTTTGTATTGACAGCACAACTTTGGATACCTGCCAGTGGTGGAATAAATATATGGATAAGATTTTAAAAAAGAGGCGTGTAGGTGCAGTAATGCATGAGATATTTCTTTAATAAAACATGATTGAGTTTTCATACTGTGGTGGGGCTAAGGTCTTCTCCAGGAATTCCTCAATCTTGTTGGTGTCAGTTTTGACCTCATCGTTGCAGAGCAGGAAGGGCGGCTGAGAGCCTGGAGCCAAAGCTTTCAGCACAGGAGGGGCCCTGCAACAGAACCGAACAAAAAAAACAAACAAGGTTAGCTCACAAATGTTGGATCTAATGATATAATGATCAAACATGGGATAAAGAGATATGTGTCCTTTCATTTACTAAATACACATTTCCCAATTTGTTCAGAGTTTATTTTTCCTGTTTCACACACGAGAGTTTGCGTTTACAGATTCCCCTCTATGACTTTTCTGCAAGTCTTCCTTATACCTTACACTGCAACTGCATACACAACATTCCCCTTGCCTTTAAAAGCGTCACTGCCATTTCCCCCACCAAAATATTTCTAACTCGTCACTTTCCAACATCAACTTCAGTCCACTGTTTGAAATTGGGAATTAAAGGACACAAGCAGACAATGGAATTTTTTTTAATTCATATTCAAACTTTGAGTCTCTCAGAAGATCTTTTTTTTTTTTACTTTCTTACCACTTCTCCAATTAACAAGAATCATTCTTGATTTTTATCCTTGTTGCCATTCATTCTTTTTTTTTTTGTTCTATAGAAGATTTTTTAAATAATGTTTGATAATGTTGGTGAGCTAAGTTTTTCCTCTCATTGTTCATTTTGTCAGTGATTCTCTGACAATATGTTTAATAATTGTCTGCTTAGTGTATCCAATATTTGCTGGTATAGCCTGTAGCGCCTCTCAAAACTCTCTGATGGATGAATCAGTGAAATACTTTGGTTCAGTTAATGCTGAACAACTTTTCCCCTCTAAACTTCATGCAACTTTTTGCCTCACATGAAAATATGTCAAAATCCTGTCATTCTTACAAGATCAATGACTTAAGAGAGGGAAAAACATGTTCTCTCACCTTGTCATGTCCACGGTGGTGATTTTAAAGCTGATCCCTTTTAACCAAAGAATCATGAAGATTCTCTGACTGAAGGGACAGTTTCCCACACCTTCGGCATCAAAACTGGCCTGACAAACAAACAGAAGTTGCTTAATTAACAAAAGAAAAAAATGACATCGTCTACAAACATTGAGGTTTGACATGTGTAACTTGTAGCACCAGGGCAGAAGGTTCTCTGACCCAAACACAACTACCTGAGCAGGTCGAGCCTGCTCTGCTCCAACAGTCACTTGCTGAGGAATTTCAAATGGAGGGTTGAGAGCGCTTTACACCCAGATTAATCAAGCCAGTATTTAAGTAGTGTTTTGGATCCCTACTTTCACGCATTACATTTTCTCCCACAGCCTGATTTTATTGCATCACCGGCTTGAGTGGAAGCTGAGGCTTTTGTTAAAAGGACATAAACCTATGTTTCCAAACAGACAGGCTGTTTAAGTTCATACTGTTTACCATAAGGCCTCAGCTGTCGCACTGATATTGTACCTAAAGTATACTAATTCATACTAACCAAACTTCATGAGTTACAACAGTCCTGCACTTAAATGTATTCTAAAGTTTTTGATATCAAATATACATGTAGTATATCAATAAAACACCTCAAACATAAATAGTGATAACAAAGTATTTGCACGAGTCAGAGCTTTTTTTCTGAGAGAAGCAGGTAGCTTAGAACACAATACGAAACTAATGCTTTACTTCTGTATTAGTTACAATTACTGCAAGCTTACTAAGTGTTATGCATGTCATACTTAAACAAGAAATAATTCATACAACGATTTGTTGTCAATGATTTAAAATGATGATGGATTATTGCTGCATGTAAGCTGGTCTATCCACCACATGTGTAGTTCTGTGTTTAAACACACTGATGTTATTATATCCGTTGACAACTCTTACCTTAACAAAGAGTTCAATCTGAGGGACCTCTGCCATCGTCAGCGTCCTCCTTTCTCTATTGGATCCACAAAATGTCCCACTAACGCACAGATAAGTAAGATATCTTGAAACGCTGTTTTGATTAAACTGAAACTGAGATGTCACAGAAGCCTGAACTCACACTGATGGTCACGGTGGATGCAATAACGCAGGCTAATCTTCCCTTCCTTGTATTATTCTCAGTCCGAGTGCCTCACCTCTCCCTTTCCTCCCTTTTTTCTTTTCTTTTCTTTTCTCTACGTCTGTCTCTGTTTTTTTGTTCATCTCTCACCACACCTGTCACCTCAGACAGACAGCCTGCACCTCCTCTGGCCGTACCAGTTAGACCAGTAAATCGAGATCTCTCCTTTTTGGTTTCTCAGCCTTCCAGTGTATTCTCTGACAGAAATCTGTTACTCTCAATCTGTACCTGTCACTGTACTAGCCTGTTTGTGCTCTTTTTTAATCTACCCAAGTAAGCCAGTTCTGGAGGCCTTCTGTCAGAGAGGTCACAGAGTCAGAAGACTGTAAGGTTCATTTTGTGTGGTTTCAAGTTTATTTGTGAGGTGAAATTCAAATAACTTCAACAGCTTGAACATCTGATACATAATAATCCAAAGAATTTTAACACAGCTGATGAGAAGACTTATTTTTGGGGCTTTTGTGCCTTTATTGGAGAGATAGGACAGTGGATAGAGTTGGAAATCAGGGAGAGAGTGGGGAATGACATGCAGGAGGAGCCACAGGTCGGATTTGAACCTGGCCGCCGACTTGGGGGACCATAGCCTTCGTACATGGGCCATGCGCACTAACCACTATACCACTGGCAACCCTCAATGGTGTTTATTTGATCACATTTTACTCTATATGGCCAAAAGTCTGTGGACACCTGAGCTTTAGATCATTTTTTTTAAATATGCAATTCTGAAATGATTGAGTTATTTCACTGCTAAAAATGGATTAAACCGCTTATTTCAGTTTTTCCACAAGAGTTTTGGAACCCTACTGTGAATATTCTCTCCAATTAAGGCCCAAGTCTATTAATAAGAGCACTGATGCACTAATGGGACTGATGTTTGGCGATAAGGCCTTGTTTTCAGTCTGAATTGCAAATTATCCCTGAAGTGCTGGACAGGGTTGAGATCAGGGCTACATGCATGCCACTCAGTTCCTTCCAAGCCAAAATCTGTTACCTTATGGACCTTGAAATTGTCCTGCAAACGCAAGACTTTCTGACACTGTTTTTATTTGTATGATACATAAAATTCTTGGATTGGAGGATTTGAAGACAGCCCCAGAACTACAGAGTGCAAAGAGATATGTGTCCACACACTGCTGGCCACATTGTGGATTTCCTTTGATGTCTGTCGGTCAGTCTTGTCAGTAGTGTGCCTGTGTTTTTGTGTCTCTTACATCTGTAACCCCATAGGTTGGACGTGTTTGTTTTGTGTTCATTCCACAGCCAACTTTCAGGTGTCATCGACATTCATGACTGAAAGAAAATGCTTTCACTATGGCAGGTATTCGCTAAGGTGTCACAGTGGGGTTTCTGTGTTAAGGAAGAGGAGGGAGACAAACTAAAACAAGGAAGTTGTTATTGAGAAAAACAAAGTTGAAGCCAGAAAGTGAGGTAATGATTCCAGAAAGATTAGAAGCACATCAGCAGAGAAATGGCTTAAGCAAACTATGATATAGTGTCAATACGTTCAAGAGGATTTCATGAGGGTGTGATCATCTGTCTTCAATGACTCTGTTCTGTGGAATCCACATGATTCAAGCATAGACTGTTCAAGGATAATTAAGGTAATTGAGTATGTACTATGTATTTTGTTTTGGAATGTAGGCTAAAAGAAAGGTGCTGTCCCTAAGATCTTAAACATCCTTAACATTAAAACAACCTGACACAATGTCCTTCTTTTGTTGTTGCTGCCTAAAAAACCCTCATATGAATTTATTTGAAGGCATTGTAATTATATAATACCAGAAACAGTATATCAATTCTGTACCTGCATATATGAATCTGTGATCATTCATTTTCTACTAAAGGAAATTCACTATTGAACAAGATTCCTTCAACAGTAGAAGCACCCATAATAAAAACACACACAACTTGAACACAAGGCTACTTTGATTCCGTAATTCAGTAAATGGCATTATGCTTTCAATTTTTAGTCACTTCATAAGTTGTTTGACATCAGGAAAAAAAATCATTTCCCTGACATAAATAAAATGGTATAAGGTATGAAAATGCAAACTTGAATACCTGATCCTTTTTTTTTAATTATTGATAAATAATGTCTGAGTGAACACTGTAGTTTAAACTGGATGAAGGAGACTTTGATACCTTGCAGTGATTTTGAGTTGAATTTTGGCCTACTTTATAATAAATCACAAAGTTATTCTGGTGTGTTTTATTTACATGCAACTTCAGTTTATTGTGTTTTTTTGTTCTAACATGGGTGTGTATGTAGAAGCTCTATTTCAAACATTAAAATGCAATCTGTTGAAGCCTCTTTAGTTACACTCTTATGGCCTTATAATACTATAGTATATGTTGATACTTAAAACATAAGACCATGAATACATTTTTTTATTATCTATGAAGCTTTCATTTGGAGCCTGGGTGGGTCAAGGCCTGCAGCCTGATCCAGCCTTAACAACAATGCATTTGAATTAACTGTTTTTCTGTACTATACTGCCCTCTTGTGGTATTTCATTATACTGATGTCCACTTCAGGGTTAAGACTTGTTTTAGTCTTAGGTTTTTTTTTATTTAGTTCATAGGAGGAGTTTGGGATTTAAAAAAAAACCCATCAGCATTCATTACAACTAAGCAGAGACCTCAGGAGGAGTCATTTAAGTCCTTGCACATTACCCTTTATATGAAGGGCCAACTCATTTTATAATCAGCCACCTGACATTAACTACTTGACATCCCTTATATGTAATCATGCAATTCTTTAATTTGGTGTTTTACTGATGTATTTTAATTATTTTTGTTCATGTTTTTATGGTTACTGATGCATTTTGTCACTTGTCTCACATTATAGTATCAGCTCAAACAAAAGAATAAGGAAAATGAGGGATAACAGTTGTGGTAATTGTACTTTTATAGTATCACAGTTTGTAACACCTGACTCAGAGGCTCTCAAGTGGATTCAAAAATCACAGGAAAGGACCAGAAATATGGACTATATGAAACTTGCTGCCTCAGGAAGACGTAAAACCAACACTCAGGATAGCTGCTATCCTCTGTAAATTGTAACTGAAATTGAAGCCTGCTTTATTGCCCAGCACTACTGCACCACATGCCAAGTCAAATGGGACTATATTATATTTCTTTTGGGGAAAGGCACAGGTATTGTCTTTCTAATAAATTATCAATTGTGCATTTCAGCATTTAAACCACTAGAGGGCAGCATATGCTCTTCTTTTAGATTAACAATAAATTGGTGTTGTTAAAAAAAAAAAAAATGAGCAGTTAAATCTAGACTAATGTCGTGTTTGCACTGATTCAATTTCAATTCAATTTATTTTGTATAGCGTCAACTCATAACAAGTGTTATCTCAAGACACTTTTCTGACGGTTGTTCTGGCAAGCCGTCAACCAACGGCTGACCGTTTTCATCTGGACTTTTAGATCAATATTCAGCAACATGTACACTGAGTGATAGGATGATGTATAGTCATCACATGTTCATGTTACACTTGCCTGCAAAATGGCCTGAATCATCTCTACTAGGACTACCTAAAAAACTGTTGACTGTTAATTATAGTATGAGAAAAAGAGCAAACTAATTGCTTTAGACACTTGTCTCTGATGTAGGTAGAGACACTAAATAATAGTGTGAGCAGGTTTGCATTATCTTTTAAAAGAAACCACTGTTGAGCAAACTGGGAGAGATATTTGTTCACATGGTTTTAGATACTATCAGACTATCCTAATGCTGGAGTTTTAGTATATTTAAAATGTACATATAGGGGTGTTGAGTCAAAATTTCCCTTGAAGATATGCAACTGTGAAATTGTTTCTGAGTTTAAGACCTTTATACTGTTGGGTTATAAAAAGATTCTGTTTGTAGATCACCCTTAAAGGTCAACAAGGCTTTAGTCAATAGGCGTTTATAGACCACAAGAACTTTTTCATAGTTATAGGAGCTGTTGGAACCCTGTTTAGAGGAACCTTTTTACCTCCTGCTTATTCTCCCAGCAACATGGTGGTGTGAATGCAGACAGAAAAAAAAACATGGTGTGTAGTTCCCAGGGAACTCCCAAGTGGATAGTTTCCCCCAAAATAACTAATGTAGCTCACAGGACCAGATTGACTTTCCCTATCATTTTAGAGTTAGTTTCCATGACAGTGAAAGCGCTACACATCATTGTCCATGTTTTTATGTAGAATGTTGAGCTTTTGGTAAATGATGACCAAAAGCTTATTGTTTTGTCCAGAGTTTATTCTCATTCTCCACAGTTTCATCCAAAACATCCTGAATTCCAAAATTGGTCAGATACACAAAAAAACAGAAAAATTGCTCTGCACTTACAACATGTTCAATGATAAAGATCCAGAACCTGCTGTAAAGCAACCATCAGACCACAGACAAACTCAAGTGATTATAATGAGAATACGATGAATACAATAAGCTCTATTGACTCCCTAAAGAGGATATTCACTTGTTATGGCAGCTCACAAAAAGAGAAAATTAAATATAGTATATAGGTTCTAAGATATACAAAATAAGGGTGGGGGAGGTGATATATAGAAGATTGTTTGTGTAACATATGTGTTTAAATATATTTCAATTCCTAGATGTATAATTATACTCAAGAATATTACTCTAAATTTGGGTATCATTAATATTCAAAGAAATAAATTGATCGTTTTCCTATCCAACACATTTACATTCAGTGATGTCTCAGTAGCGAGTTTGTGATCGCCCTTGTGTAACACCCCTTTTAACTTTAGACCTTGATCAACACTTCCTCTTTCCCCATCAGTACACACATGAAGCAAACAC